AACAGAAATTAACTTTGCGTAAGATGAATCTTACACAAAGGATCGATTGAATTAGAATTTAATGCTAATTTTAGAACCGTTCCCCGGCAACGGCGCCAAAAACTTGATGTGTGTAAAACTCACTTAGTTTTAATCCTACTTTAATTATCAAATAACACACAAAAGGCAGTGAACCTATCAATTGTGGTATAGCTAAATAAGCAGGGTATCGAACACAGGGAACGGCAAATTAAATTAAAAACTAATTCTATCTAAATTACTTTAGCAAATAAGGGTTTTTCTCTAGTTTTACAAGACTAGAAACTTACTAAACAAAACTAATGCAAGGCTAGAAAAGAACAAATTAACTAGATTCAATAATGGGAAAGAAACTTCTGTTTAGTTCAACTCGGTTAACTTTATGGTTGCTTTTAAGGTAATAGTGCAATGGATTAATTCTTTCGTTGGTTACCGATTCAAGTGATTAAGTTGTGTTCACTACCCTAATCCTTAGCAAATAAACTAATTCAAACAGTGGCCAATTGCTTAACTTAATTATATTTACTAGATTAATTATTCGGGTTAAGTTAGACTTGCAATAGCTAATTAATTGTTATTCTTAATTAACCTCTTGTTCGATAGTCATCTTACAAGCTTGCACATGAATTTACTCAATTTCCTTATTAATCCTAGTTTCATATTCATTAATCCTAGACATATGATATAGTGGTCACTTATCATATGAGGTTGATAATTAATAGATGTTCATGCTAATCAATTATCTTCCTATTAACAGAAAATAAATTATCATTCATACACAAGGTTCTTTAGCAAGCTAAAATAACAATTAATCACCAACTTAGAATTAATCCTACCAATCAATCAAACCATATTGTCAACTTTGTATCCCCAAACAGAAGTATAAAGAAATTAGTTCATAACTAAGGTGAATAACAGCAAACAAATAAGTTCAAGTTGCTTAATCATATTGACAAAACAAAAGAATTAAGTAGAATGATGAAATTACGCCTCAATTACTCCCGGAATTGGATTCTAGCTTCTTTGGTCGACTTCTAGGGTTCTTCTGGCTTCTTATTCGCAGCTAAACACTTCTGAAACTTCCCAGAAAATCCCCCTTTCGCATTATAGAGTTATCTTTATATATGCATACCGACTCGTCGAGTCATATGGTGACTCGTCGAGTCCCTCTCACATTAGTCGTAACCTGATAACTGTCTTGACTTCCGAATGCTTATCTTTCTGAATCCGCGACCGGACTCGTCGAGTCAAGAGACAACTCGACGAGTAGAAGCCTTTTTTGGTTGTTTTCTTTCTTCTTTCCACTCTTGAGCTCTTAACCGCTTCTGTTGCTTCCTTTCGCTTCCGAGCTTCATCTTTGGACTGAAAAACATAATTTAACACTTTTAAGTACCTTTTGTCCATAATATGCAACAATTTAGCTAATATATGAATAATAAACTACACTTAATACACACTAAATATGCACATATCAACGCTTACATTGAAGTTGTTATTCTTACGATTTTGGATTGAGTCATATGATTAACAATGTTTTTTTTTCAACGGTCTTATTCTATAATTCTTTTTTCTAGATTCTTTTCTCCTTCTTCTTCTATAATTTCTTGTATTTACTTTGTTCTTATTACTTGTTATTACTGTATTCTTGTTGAGAGGTCATGGAAAAATTAATCAATCTACTTTAAGTATATTAGTTTCATTCATTTAATTATAGAAACAAAATTATATCCTTTATATTAATTTTTTTTAATATGCTGACCTATGTTTGTCAAGAGAAAGTCATAAAATTCGTTCTCCTTCTTCTTCTACAATTTCTTGTATTTACTTTGTTCTTATTACTTGTTATTACTGTATTCCTGTTGAGAGGTCATGAAAAAATTAATCAATCTACTTTAAGTATACTAGTTTCATTCATTTAGTTATAAAAACAAAATTATATATTTTATATTAATTTTTTTAATATGTTGACCTATGTTTGTCAAGAGAAAGTCATAAAAGTCGTTTTAACGTATGATGACAAAACTCGTGGAATTGACCAAAAGCAAGATGAAGAAGTTTTTTATTGTTACACTTCAACTTGCATGAACAAATACATATATATTGTTCTAAGTTTTTCAAAAATTCTTTTATACATATTATTATACTCTTTAGTTAAATTTTCTAATTTTATATTACTGTATTTGTTTATATCAATGGCTTTAGTTTCAAAATCAACATTCAAGTACAAGACTTTACCGGTGTGGTGTCACTTACGTTATTTGATCGTGACACAAAGAAACTTCTGGAAAAAACCGCACAAGAGTTGCTTCAAAAGTTTAATGAGGTATTCGATATAAAACTAATTTTTTACCTTTTGTTTATCTATTTTTATAACCAATTTTTTTTTTAAATTTTAGTAAGGTAATATGAAGATTTATCCATCTACTTTGAATGTACTTTTCGATAAAAAATTGGTGTTCAAATTCAAATTTCACATTATAATTTGAAGAAACAAAGTTGATGGTTATGTAATCTCAAACTTCACTGTTGATAATACAATCATTGTTGAATTGGAAAAAAAAATTAACATCGAACATAAAACATTCTTTTACGAAGAATACTACAAACATCTCTAAAAATTATTAAAAGAAAACTCTTAATTCACCAATGAAGAAAACTCTTAATTCACCAATGAAGCAATCAGGACCTTTGATTGCATTTCAATCCTATGTTTTTCACTGTTAGATTAGATTGTTGATATCATCTTTTTCAAATAAAATTCAAACACAATTACATTTAATTATAGAATCTCTAAATTCAATAATTACATTATCAATTACAGCATATCATTCTATTTATATACGAGAATTTAGTTTCTCTAATTAATAGTGTTTCTAATTTAACTCATTTGTGTATAGCTTCTGGCTTCAAAATTCAAACCCATTTAGTTTTTATTTAATTCTTTTTTTTTAAAAAAAAACTCATTAAATAAGCATATCAACAATTTGATCATTAACCTATAAAATCTAATCTAATTCTATTAAATTAGCAAAATATTTAAGAGTAAAAAATAAAGTCAAATTTATTTATAATTTATCTCCTGGTATATCCCACGTAAATAAATCAATTTGAGATAATGGTTTTGAATTTAAAACTCATAAATTAAGCAAGTCAATTAATTTGAAATTTTGATTCAATATAAATGATATCATTTTTTTTCAGATAAATAGCCGAAAATCTCCAAGATAATATTTTAGGATCCCATTTTTTTGGAAGATAATGATTTCCTTATTGAAAAACAACTTATATATACTATTACTTTGAAGTTGTTCTTTTTACGATTTTGGATTGGATCGTATGATTTACAATGTTCTTCTTCAACGGTTAAATTCTATAATTATTTTTTCTAAGTTCTTTCTTTACCCTGTTCTCTTTCTACTTCTACAATTTCTTGTATATTACTTTGTTCTTATTCCTGTTCTCCTTCTTCTTCAACCTATTAATGTAATATGTATTTAATTTATGTTCCTTGCGTTTAATGCGGGTCATAAACTAGTTATATAAAAAATTATAATGTTATCTTTAAAAACAAAAACAATGTTTGTTGTTTTAAATAATTACAATCAAAGAAGCTAATAATATTCATCAAATAAATTTTAAAAGAGTTAAATTTCTGAAACCAAATTAAAATAATTAAGAGTTTTGAAATACATTATTTAAAATAGTTTATAAAAACAATAGTTAAAAGTAACATTATATACGAAAATTATATTGTTACCTTTAAAAACAAAAATATTGTTTGATGTTTAAAATAATTACAATGATATAACTTAAAATGACAAGCAAATGAATTATTTAAAATTAATTAATCATAACAACAATTGTAAATATCATTAAACCATATATTATATAATTTTATTCATGTAGCTTTTGATTTTGGATTTTGGAGCCTTTTGTGTAGGCCAAAAGCTAAACGTTTCGTCGCCGAACAAGATTTTTATTTTTTTACTAGTGTTTTCTTAAAAGATAGAAGCCAGAAGCTTCCAAAAGCTGCATGCCGAACACGCCGAAAGTAAAATATCATAAATGGTATTATTGCATTTATTTTGAATGCAGCAAGAGTAGAAATTGCATATGAAAGCTTTTTTTTTTTTTTAATAATTCCACTTTTACTGTACTAGTTAACAAATAAAAGCAACTTTTGTTTCGATACTTGAATTATGAAACAGCCCATAAGTTAGATTTAGTTAAATGTTTTGGGCTTTGGGCCAAATAAATTATATCGAATTATTGATTCTTCATCGATCACCAGGCTGCTTCTTCTTCTTCTTCTTCTTCTTCTTCTTCACCGATCAGCTCAGCAGGCTCGGATTTTGAACCAGGTATGTTAATTAGGTTTAGGTCTACGTATACGAGTTCATTGATAAAACTGCGTGCGTAATTTAATTTTGATTATCAGGCGTTGGGTATGTTTCACCATTTGTTAATTTCTAGTTCTGATTCCGAGTTCTTCATAGTTTTGCTGTAATACATAGCTTCTCATTTCTAAATATTTTATGTTATCAGAGTGGCTTACCACCATTAATTTCGAGTTCTGATTTTGCCTTCCTTTTAAGTTGGGATCCGGTTGTTTTGGCTCTTACAGTTTTTTGTTTTCATTCAAGTTTATGAATGCCTACCAGGTGTTTGATGTTTTGTTCCTTTTTTAACACCACTACTTTTACTTAATCCTCAAACATGCCTAGTCTTCTAGTTGGAAGCAATTTTGTGAATTCTTACAGTTTTTGGTCTCATTCAAGTATCCTAATTAGTATATACAATGTCCCCTAAATGACATAGTGGCTTATGTGATCCATATTCATAAAGATGCTCTTTTTATATACATAACAGAGTTACATCTTCTGATCTTCAACTTCTAATCTATATATCCCCTTTTCCCCTTATGTGGTAGGTGTGGTGCAGCTTCCTTGGGACATAGGAGAAGCGTGAGATATAGAAAGAACATGGTGGCTGCTTCCGCCTCCTTCAGGTGGATACTGCAACTGCATAAAGATGTTCCAAAAGCTGCAAAATTTTACAAAGAAGGCCTTGATTTCACCATAAATGTGTGTACTCTCCGGTGGGCTGAACTTGAATCCGGCCCTCTCAAGCTCGCTCTCATGCATTCTTCCAGGTCACTTTCAATACTCTCTCTCTCTCTCTCACACACACACACACACCCTTTTGATTCTACATGGCGATATGAGTTCTTCTGTATATATACACTACAGTGAGATTGAGGTTCAGAAGGGATACTCATCACTGTTATCATTCAGTGTGACCGACATTAACAGCACGGTGACTAAACTCATGGCTTTAGGTGCAGAGATGGATGGGCCTATCAAATATGAGGTCCATGGAAAGGTGATAATAATAATAATAATAATAATAATAATAATAATAATATTAATAATAATAATAATAATAATATTATTATTATTATTATTATTATTATTATTATTATTATTATTCAAAAGATTGTTGCTTTTGTTGGCAGGTTGCTGCAATGCGGTGTATTGATGGTCACATGTTGGGTCTTTATGAGCCTGTTTGAAACATTACATTTTAAAACCCAATAACAACCATTTTCCTTTTGATTATCAAAGTGTATTCTTAAGTCTTAACAACGGGGTAGATTGTTTGTAACTTCTCTTTTTCTTTCATTGAATTTCTAGTTCCTGCCTCTTCAATACATACAAATTTTCATATTGCTCTTTTCAAAATATCATATTACTGTTGTATACTTTTCTGTATGCTCATTAATATCATCAAGTCACAATGAACTTGAAAAGAGCTTATTAGAAATATTTGATACTAGTTTGGTAATTGGTAATAACATAGTCACATAGTTCGCGGTACGCTCCGGTACGGGAACGAGGATCGGGAACGTGGTTCGCCAATTAGGGCGTATCGGATACGGTGGGGGTAGGTTCATTTCGGTACAGCCCGATACAGTGTACCATGGATTCCCATACGGTGTACACATGTTCAAAACATAATTCCAGCAATTCTTTAACTTAAAAACAAGAATGCAAGTTTACTTATAATCAATTTTATACTTAAAAACAAAACTTCTAAGTTAACACTTAAAAGACTTTCTAAAAACCAATTTCAAAGATGAAAAGCAATAAAGAAACAAAATATATGAGAGGGAACTGATGGTGAACTGAAAAGCAATAAGAATGTTGAACTGAAGTGGAGTCATGGTGAATTGATGATATTAGATAAAAGGCGTAGCTGTTATAGAATTATTAAAATTGATTAGAATAATCGATGTGGAAGTCCAAATATCTAACATGGAATCAAGGAATTGATTGAAGAAATCAAGTGTCGGCGACTTTTCCCCGGATGAAATCAATTTCCCACCAACTTCACAAATCGGCGTTTCAGAACCAAAATTGTCGATCCCAATCGCGTTTCTGTGCAATCCGGTTCGCCAATTTCACGTTTCAGGTATCGATTTAGAGAAATTGTGGGATCGCTATCAGAACGTACCACATGACGTTTCTGTCGGCGATCGGTACACAATCGTACCGCGTTTGGGATCGGGCCGTTCGGAATGTAGATCGTGACTACTTTGGCGAATCCTGTGACTATGGGTAATAACCACAACTCAAAGGATGCAAAGTGAAAATTATAGCAATTTTAAGGGTTTAACCCTTTTTTTTTCTCTAACATACTATATAACTAGTGGGTGGCCGTGTTGTGCCAGATTTATTAATTTTATACTTTCCACATGACACAATTTTTCCAATTTTTTCTTACATAGGGAACATTTCTATAAATTTGTTATCAGATAATGACCATTTCTCTAGTTTTCTGAAACGTAGGGACAGTTTCTGTAATTTTGCTTTTAGCATGGGTTATTTTTGTAGTTTTGTGAAAAGAAGAGAATATTTTTATAATTTTGTGAAACATAGGGACCATTTATGTAAAATTTCTAATAGGTAGGGACCCTGTCTATAATTTTAAGAAACATATGAACCATTTTTGTAAATTTGTTATAAGGAAGGGGCCATTTATGTAACTTTTTGAAACATAAGGACCATTCTTGTAAAATAGTTTGCATAGGGACCTATTTTGAAAATTTTTGGGACTGTAAATTGTCTTCGACCATTTCTGTAGTTTTCTTTTGACAAAATTACATAAATGGACCTTGTGGTTATTCATATTTACAAGTTTAATCACTGTTATACAGGTATGGTTTTTGTGGTTTCTAACACTTGCAAGGTTTGTCCTAAGTCACATAAAATGACATTTTACCCTTTTAATATCTTTTATCTTTTTCTTTAATTAACTTTCACCTAAAAAATAAAATGAATAAAAAAACACGTCTGCTCTATCTGTACCCTTACTCCTCTCAACTCTTTCCCTCATTTCTTATCCACCTAACCTAATGTGTGCTAGTATCTGTATATGGTTGAAGAAAATAGGGGAAGAAGAAATCGAGCTTCAAACCAAAATTGAGTGTTGCATTCATTGTTCATCGTTTCCACAAAAAGATATCGTTGGCCTTTATTCAGGTTTTCATCGACCCCCTTCCATTGTCGTTGTTACGTTTACACACCCCAAAAATTGAGGTTCGATCCTATTTCCACACCCACCATTCTTGAAGTACAAGATATGGTTCAACCCATCAATTGCAAAATAATGAAAAATCTATATCCATTTGACCTCAAACAAATTTATCTTTCTATCACTTTTATCAACAAAGAAAGCTATGATTAAGAATCAATAGTTTATATGGAAGCAATGTCATTAAATCTCGTTTTCATTGTAGGAAATTACTAAAGCTAATCAACCCAAGTGGTTAATGTGGTGATGAAAGAGATAGTGATCATTGGAATTGGTTTTTGGAGAAGGTTTAACAATAACTGATCAACAAGCTTTAATTGATTTCCCCGATAGGTTTGAAAGTTGATTGTGACGACCTAGATTGATCAGAAATGGGTGTTGAGATAGTACGGGAATCTAAACAGATATCAATGGTGTTTGATGACGATATCAGTCATGGTGGCAGTGAAATGAAGCTCATAATTGGTGGTGATGTTGGGTATAGGAACCGACACGACATTGCCTTCCTCATGCCAAGACCAGAGATGGATGAAGCTAATTGTTGATAGCGGCAAACGTTATCAGACCATGTGTATGTGAGATTGTTGTAAATGAGTGAAGGAGAATCAACGAAAACAATAGTAGCTCTTTCAAGGAATCCAAGAGGACGAAGAACGCTTGAATTTGAGGTAGTCGATGATTTTGACTCTTTCTTCCTGAAAAGCAATGGAGTGTAGGTGTAACACCTCGTTTTCACTCTTCAATATGATTTAATATAAACCATTTATTTATAAAATTCAAATTTGATAGATATTACTTTTTAGCCAAAATAATCATCATAAACATGTAGGAAACGTCACTACGCTTCCATAGATGTATAGAACGCTTAAATCTGACTTTGTACGAAGAAGTTATGATTATTTGAAGTTTTGCTTTCATCCCTATACGGCAAAGCGCGTCGTAAAATACGAATTAGAGATAGATGACTTATTAGCATGAGGAATCTAAACGAAAGTCAAAGTAATCGTAAAAGTGAGAGCGTACATATAGAGAACGTCCAAATCTGACTTATTAAATAAAAGTTATGATTTTTTGAAGTTTCAGCGCAGCAGTATGCGACACAGAAACCGAAATTAAGATCGATTGATTATTAGACAAAACAATCTAAACGAGAGTTGAAGATTTTGTCAATACCTATCCGTTAATATATAAAGACAATCGCGAACGGATGTCGTACGAAAGAGATACGATTTTTAAACGGAGTATAGCAGTCTAAGCCTTCTAAAAAATAATAAATAATAAACAATGTGAGAATTAACCGACATAATCTAAATGAAAGTTGTAGATCTCATTAATAGCTACGTGTGGATATAAATGTGATAACCATCAATTTTGATCAAACAAAGTCAACAAAAGCCAACCATGGCAACTTAAATCGTATTAGAATTTTAGGAGAAATCTGATATTTCATAATGTTACTAATATACTATTGACAAGTTATAAATTCAAAGTACCTCTCTTTTTACCAATTATTGAATATAAACCCTAATTAGGGTTAGTAACGTAAAAATTCGATAATTCAATTATATATTATTTAGGTATAAATAATATTCATAACACAAAGTTCATAAACCTTATACTACATGGCAAATTCATAATAAATGTTACATATTCAGATTTTTGGTGAATTCGTCACCAAATGCGACAAATTCTCTATCCGATTTAAGCACTCAAACGTTAATGAAAAGAATTAGAAATCATTATAACTTTTTGTGTAATGTTATATTATTTTTGATGATAATATTTTTTTTATAATAATTTGACTTTATATGATTTAAATTAAATAATTATACATCATTTTTACCACACTTTTTATAAAAATCACCAACTTTTAAAAAAATAACCCATTTTTTTTTTATAAAAAATGAACTAAAGACCACATTTGTCTTATATGATTATTACATATTATAAAAATATTATTATTTAACTAAAATGGTCATCCTTGAATATTAAATTAAAGAAACCATTCCATGCCCCCATACTCACCCTACCCCCCCCCCCCCCCCCCCCAATCCTCCCCCCTCTTCCATTTATTTTGGTTGAAACCCTTCCCTATCCCATCTTTTTCATTGTTTTGTTCATCTCCTTCCTCAAGAACAATCCCCCTCTCTTAAGACTAATTTTCAGAAGTTGGTTCTTGATCTTTTGGTAAGTTTTTACTTACTAATCTAGTGATTATATGCATATATATACTAGTTTTGTTACAATTACACACATTAATATGTGTTAAAATCCATGGGATCTTCCAATCTTCAAGTGTTCTTAGCTTGAAATCTCTCATCTTCTCCTCTTTATCCACCAAGAAAAACACTCAAGGTGAGTTCATACTCTTCATTTTCATCTTTATCCAAGTTTAAGGGGAGAATACAAGTAAACTTGTATAATTGTACAAGTTGTTATACATGCTTTATTTTCATGTTGTGTAAAAATGTTATCTACATGAAACAATGCTATTAACTAATATTATGAACATTTACGTGTGGTATGTTGTTTAAAATACAAAGTTATGAAAAATGAGTATAAACATGCCATATGTTGTAACATTCATAAATTTTACGCCAAATTTAAATTTTTTCAATCATAAATAAAAATCAAATAGAATAGTTTACAAAAAATGTTTTCAAATCATTATCCATCAGAGTGTCCCAAAATCATAACATAAGGATGAGGAGCGGTACGGTCACGCCTTCGCCTTGCCATGATCTCCTGAAGTACCTGAAACAATAAACTGAAAACTGTAAGCCCGAGGGCTTAGTGAGCTACCCCCAAAATACCAATACCACACTGACAATACCATATTAGTAATAATCAATCAATCAACATGCATACTGGGCCATCGGCCTGACTGGACCGCCCTACAAGGCCTACAGTCTATCTGGATCTATCTCGAGCCTTCGGCATGACTGGTCCGCCATGTGGGCCTACAGTCTTCCCGGACCGCTCATAGGGTATGTTGGCCTTTAGCACAAAGCAGGACCGCCTCAACCCAACCAATCAAGCAAATAACCATGTGCGCATAACTATCATATACTGGCATACACAAACACCAAACATGTCTATCTCACTGATCATCAGTCATAGAATTCTCTAGTAACTAGCACACCGACTAGCAGGTCACTAACATACATGTCGCTACGGATCATAAGAGCATAACATATGGTCTACCCTGATTCCGATCTAACAGTTCATAACCACATGTAGCATAACATAACAATAACAGCTAAAGGGCCGACCTTGGTGCCGTAGACCCTATCGATATAGTGAGGATAACTCACCTCACAGATGTCGACTCGGAAGGTAAACTCCAACTCTCGGATCACTTGACGCAGGCTCCACCACCTATTATCATAGCACAATATACTCGTAAGTCCTTAACCTTATGAGGTACTCCATAACCCACTAGTCAATCCCTGATCAAAGTCAAAGTCCTCAGTCAAGGTCAACAATCCATGTTGCCCTCGACTCGCCGAGTACCCTCGGCTACTTGCCGAGTTCCTTGAAGCACATTCCAACTCGCCGAGTCATTGGGGTGACTCGTCGAGTTCCTTCGATTCTTGATCAAAATTTAAGGCCACCCTTCGAGTTTCCTCCTTGCAACTCGACGGATACACACGCATACATATCCTGGAGAAAACTCACCCGACTCGCCGAGTTGTTCTTCAACTCGTCGAATCTATGGCAATCATCATCGGACTCGCCGGGTTGTTCCTCCAACTCGTCGAGTTCACGACCATCTTCATGTGACTTGTCGAGTCAACCTTGCTACTCGCCGAGTCCATTCAGTCCTTTTTCTATACAGACCTATTTTAAGCCATGCAGCGGCTCCAAATCACAGATCTAAGCATCTAGGGCATGCTTTTCACGTAAAGTTGCAAACTTTACGTGCATGCATAGCTACAAAGGTTCTACATGCCAAATATAAGCTCTTAATGGGGTCTCATGCCCAAGGAGGGCCTCATTCACGACCAATACAACAACTTTATGATTCTAAAACTTAAGGAGGGTCCAGATCTGAAGTTACAACTTCAGATCTAGCCCATAGCCCACCTTATCAACCTCAAAATCCATAAAACCCCCCAAAAACTCAACAAAAGGAAAAAGGGAAGTAAGGATGGAAACTTGATACCTCCAAGGGATGCTAGCTGAGGTGAATTCTGCTTCCCACACTTTCCTTGCTTCAATCCCTTTGCACTTCTAGCTTTTCTCTTCTAGCCAACCTTTTTTCCAAGCTTAAGACACACCAAAATTGAATACCACACGAATTAGGGTTTTAAGGAGCTCTCAAAGACTGCAAAGAGGCCAAAGGAGGCTGAGGCTCCTTTAAATAGGGGTGAAAAACCCGGGATTTAGGGTTTCATCTGCCAGCTCCTACTTGCCGAGTCCCAATATGGACTCGTCGAGTAGGTCACTTAACACGCGATCCCACCCCGCTGCTACTCGATGAGTAGGGCAACCAACTCGTCGAGTAGAGCTTAACTCAATAAATCTTATTTAAACAATACCTGAGAATCGGGGCGTTACATATGCTCTTAATAGAAAGTAAAAAAGAAAACTATAAAACTATGGGTTTTATGAACATAATATGATTTTTTTCGAGCAAAAATGGTAATAACCAAGTTATTACACCATTTTTGTGGGATATAAATCAAAATATGTTATTTTGGACACATGTTATGAAACTAGTTATAAATACCAATGATTTGATTTTACAAAAAAGAAAACCTAAAAATCTATCATGTTATGTGAAAATTAGGGTTTTCTAACAAAAATGGACATAATCAGGTTATGATACAATTTTTGTGAGATTTCACCTAAAATATGTTGATTTAAAAACATAAGGTTAACTTGACTTAAATGTCACAAAAAGGTAAAAATAGTTTTTACAAAGTTTATAATTCAATATTTACTATTGGTGACGCAAAGAACGTAAAAAACAAGAAAATTGACTTTATCATACTAAAAGTTCATATACTTGTATTAGCTGTATAATAGTTGTATAATGTATGTTATTTATGAACATCTAAACATGCTAACATATATATATATATATATATATATATATATATATATATATGTGTGTGTGTGTGTGTGTGTGTGTGTGTAGGTACGACGAAATATTTATAATAAACTATAATAGGTGTAGTTTATGAGTCATTAATAGTATTATAACATTTTGGGACAAGACGAATAATTATATAAAAGTATATAATTATTATACACCATATTAATACTATGGAAAAGTGATATTTACACATACAAGGGTTTTTGTTGTGATATGTCGGAAAGGATTGGATTGAGATCAAGGGGGAAAGTTGTGCAGGTTCCTTCTCATGATATCATAGTGCAAAGAAAATAGATGATCGTTAGACAACGTCTGGGAGAGGCTCCCGGGACAAAGCTCTGACGATCAAGTTAGAATTGATTATGAGAGAAGGTAAGGAATTTCTGAGATTGAAAAAAAGTCCAGTTCCCTTCTCCGTGAGGAAGAAGGGTTCTTTTATACCTGATCGAGAGGCACGTGCCGCCTAACTGATTCTGTTGAGCCTTCCCTTGTGAGATCTGACGTGGCGGATCCGTATTAAAGGATCCTCCATCATGTCTTTCTATTTTATCTCCCCATTGGTTGGAGGAGAATCTTCGATATTATGATGATTCTAGTTGTCGTCAGATGAGCAAGTGGAGCTCTCTGATTGGATCCACGTTTGTCGGGGTATTTCTACTGGGGAGAAGAGGATAAGGCGCAGTTATGCCCCTTAACCATCATACTAGTGAGTCCATGCAGGCAGAGGCCCGACCTTGGCCTTGGACTAGATATGACCAAACTCTAGCTAGGCTAGGCTTGGCACTGGTTTGAATTTTCCTCTTTAACGTTTAACCTGAGGGATACGTTAACAAGTCCCTTAGGCTTGTAGGCGTATGCATTGGCTTGGTAGCATCGCCGTTTAAGCCTATATTACAACACGTGTATGTTGGAGATTATCTCTGACATCTGACAGACTTTAGACTGCGTTGTCGATGCGTGTCAGATCCGTCACGAGACGGTTTGTGACGCTAGTTGTTAATGTATCCCTCAGGGATAAATGTCAAAAAGGGAAGACTAACTAAAGCCAGGCTTGGCCAGGTCAGAGCCCCGTTAGATTTAGACTAAGGCCAAGGTCGGGCCTTCGCTAACGCAAAGATCACAAACATGACGGTTAAGGTGCAGAATCGCGCCTTAACCTCTTCTCTAAAGAATAACATCCCGACACACGTGGGACCAATAAGAGTGTTCCACTTGACCATCTGACGATAGCCACGGACATCATAATATCCACAGATTCCCCTCTAGCCAATGAGGGGATGAGGCAAAAGACGTGGCGGAGGATCCTCTAATATGGGTCCGCCACATCGCACCTCACGGGAATATGCTCAACAAAATCAGTTGAGGGGCACACGCTTCTCTAACAGGTATAAAAGGATCCTTCTTCCTCACAAAGATGGGGATAAACTCTTTTTCCTGTGATTTACCCTCACTTCTCTCAGATCTCATTCTAACTTGATCGCCAGAGCTTCGTCCTGGGAATTCCTCCTGGACGTCGGCTAACGATCATCTTTCTCTTTTGCACTGTGATATCAGGAGACAGAACCTGCACGAAACCTATCTGTAACCTCATTCGAACCATCTCTACCATATCACAACATTTAGTGCCATCCGGGCGTATCTCTAGAACGATACATCCACGAAATAAACCAAAAGAGCAACAATGATAGGTGAAATCCCAGTGGCGTCAGGAGCATCGGAGAGAAGTCCGTTGCATCCAATGCATCCATTCGATGGGGGGAAAACTTTCGTTTAGGAAGAGCATGCTTCAAACCATACACCAGTTTCACAGACACCATCCAACTCTGCATCTGAAACGACGGCAACTTGTACAGCCAACCTATCGCACCCAACAATTAACTCAGTTCCGCAAGTAGCGATCGTAACCACAACTCCACAAATCATCGCAACACAACAAACAGTGATCCTTGTTTCGCAACAACAATCCTTCCCACATACTTCAGGCATCGGGACTTGGATCCCTCACACCATTCAACCACAACCACAATACTCCCCGATGGTATACCCACACGCCACCATGGCAGGTTTGCCTCAAGTGTCGCTATTCATACAACAACCACCGATCTTCAACTCGCTTGTACAACAGAGCCCAGGTTCAATCCCTGCACTGTCTCAACCGCAAGCCACAACGCCGCATACCTCAACCAACTAGGGATCCAGTTCTTACGGATCCAGTGTTCAGTTCTCAACAACACCTGAGTTCAATCCCTTCGCAACAACCACACAACCATTCAATCCGTACACGCAACAATCCCCATGGGCTAATCCATACATGGTTCCCCTGGCGGGGCAATACAGAATCCAACAATTTACCATAGTGAAAAAAAAAACAATAACTAAAACAAACCAAATGATAATAGTAGAATTTACCATGGTGAAAAAAAACAATTTTAAAATTTGATGTAAATTATCAATAAATACATCATCTATAAAAAAAAAAAATGGGGGGGGGGGGGGGGGGGGGGGGGGGTTGTATACATCTCTTCCATCATTTCCATCTTTATGTCGGTTAGTTTTTTCTTCTTCATTTTTTTAATTTTATCTGTCTCATTTCTAAACACATGAAAAAAGAATGTGATAGTTAGGGTTTTACTTCCCAAAAATGCCTCAAAACTTATGGTACCAAACACCAGAGTGATCTTCTCGATATTACAACACTTCATGACCCTTTTTCCTAACGTATCCCAATTGATATCGTCCATTTTGATTGACTTACAGTCATGTAAAACTTTTTTAATTGATAGATTGTTAGGATTTTATGAGATTTTGAAAACATTTACTTTTTTAGCTTTTAATAAAAATTGTGAATTATTATATTTTTATTTAGAAATATGAATTTAAAACTTTTCCTAATAAAAATTTATAAATGAGATTATTTATTTTACTCATATAAACTTATAAAGTATGCCAATCTTCTTTTTGAAAGAATTTTGTCACGATTTTAAAATACATACTTCATAATAGATTCATTATTCATACACTAATAAGCTAAAAAAATAGTCGGATAGCACAAATGAAGACAGTATCCCATTACCCTTTACCCTGTTCGTATTTAATTTTGAAATATAAATTATTTTACTGAAATTCAAAGGACTACATTTTTCCCCTCTCTCTACAGTCTTCATCATGTCAAGATCTCCCCACTCCATCTTCAACCTCCCGCAAGATGTCATCTTTGACATCCTCTCTCGTCTTCCCACCAAATCCTTAATTCAGTTCACTTCTGTATGTACTTCATCCCCACCGTTAATATCCCACCCTTCTTTCACCAAGCTCCACCTCTCTTCCTCCGCCGCCGCAGCCGACGACCACCACCTACTCGTCTACTATGAATCCACCGATTACATCAACCAATTCTACTCCTTCAGATCCCCAATCACCTTCCAAGAATCGCTTAAACTTCAGATCGCCTACAAAAACCTTCATGGGTACCTCCGAATTGTGGGATCAAACAAGGGTGTAATCTGTTTCTTCGATACAAATTATTACTCGAACGTCGGTATGGTAATTCTCTGGAACCCTAGTATTAAAAAGTTGAAGAAAATCGACGACCCTAGTTATATTCTCGATAGAGTTTCTCATTTTGTTGTTGGGTTTGGTTTTGTTTCAAGGACCTGTGAGTTTAAGATCGTTGTGATTGTTTATTATCTGGACAATTCCAACACCAATAGTGTATCAGTTTATTCTCTTGGTACCGATTCATGGAAGAAAAAGGAAGACAATATCGCTCCATGTTATTTGATGAGGGGTTGGTCTAATAATGTGTTTGTCAACGGTTTTGTAAATTGGTTAGCTTGTAAGCAAGAAATTAGGGGTGTATCTCATGAAATAATGGCGTTTGATTTAGAGGATGAGATTTTTCAAGTTCTTGAATTACCAAAGAACATTAGGCCTTCTTATAATCAAGTTCACCTAGCTTCATATGGCGAGTCTTCTTCTTTAACCTTTTGTGCTCATTATCTTGAGCTCAATGGAGAAAAATGGGATATGTGGGTGATGAGTGATTATGGAGTGGTGGATTCTTGGAGGAAAGTTTGTGTGATTTCACAGCCTATGTTATCAATTCCACCATTGTTGATGAAGAATGATAATGAGGTTTTGATTGTGACAAATGATGGGAGGCTTATGTTGTTTGATGTGAACAAGAATGAGATGTTTGATCTCAAGACGTGTGGTTTGCCTCGTATGTATCGTGCTATCAATTATACTGCTAGCTTAGCTCTTCTTCATGGTTGAGGGAAAGAATCAATCAACTTTTTGTTTAACGGTTTCAATGTTGTGTTCTTGATATATTGGTGATTGTAGATGTTTGATATGTTACATAGTAATGAAGGATCTTGTCATATGGGTTATGGTGTAGATGTTTATAAAGAATTATGTATATCATTGTTAGGTACTAGGTCAAAAAGGGTAAATCTATAGTGCGGGTCGAAACATTTTGTTTGTATTTAATTTAGATTCAATATAATAAATAACAATGTACTTTCATTTCGTACCATTTGAAATAATTGTGTAATCTTTCAAAGTGTTAGAAGAGGAACCAAAGTTGGAGTTTGATATGCCTGCCATTATGAAATGATAGATATGAAGAAAGAATATCAAGAGTATGAAAACTAAACTTGAATGGGTTATATTTATAATATAGGTAAATGTAAAAATGTTGCCGGTAATTGTTGTTAAAAATGGATTGTTTGAAATCAAATCGATTGTCTTATGTAGTATATATTAAAGGCTGCAATTTTGTCGCTTATCCTATCTTTTAAGGATATCTCTGTGATGTCTTTAACATCAGCAAATGCACATGCAATTAGGTTTTTGTAGTCTTTAATCTGTACCACAAGCTGTTTTATTTCATTATCAGTTTTTCAAGTGAATTTGAAACCACAGAATAAAAAGAGATAAAATGAAAAAGAGAAGAATAAAAGCTGAGGGGTTTTGTATTCTTGAATATGCAAATGGAGAGTAAGAAGGGGTGCAGGGTTTGTGTCACCGGAGGTGGTGGTTATATTGGGTCGGCCTTGGTTCACTCACTTCTACAAAGTGGCTACACTGTCCATGCTACTCTTAGAAACCTTGGTACTTACATACCCTTTCTTATTTTCTCCCAAACACTCTGCTAATTCCTCTACATCACAATATAATATGCATCGTTTTAATTTTAATTTTAATTATATATATATATATATATATATATATATATATATATATATATATATATATATATATATATACATACATACACACATACATGCACGTACATTGCAGGTGATGAATCCAAGGTGGGGCTTTTGAGAGGTTTCCCATACGCTGAAGAGGAGCTTCATTTGTTTGAAGCTGATATGTACAAACCAGAAGAGTTTGAAGAAGCAATACAAGGTTGTGTCTTTGTTTTCCATGCTGCAACCCCCTTGTTACACACTACTGGCTACAAGGTATATATCATATTCTTAAGATCATGCATGACCAATCATAATCAAGATTCTTAAAACTATTGATGACGATATTATATATGGTGCTTAATTATCTACGTACAGTACAATGATACGGTTGAAGCAACAATTAGTGCAGTGAAGGAGATTGCAGATATTTGCATACGATCAAGGACAGTGAAGCGTCTCATCTACACTGCCTCAGTTGTCGCAGCTTCACCTTTGAAAGATGATGGGAGTGGTTATAAGATGAGCATAGATGAAAGTTGTTGGACACCCCTTCATCTCAATATCCCTTACAGCAATCACTCATTAAAAGTCGTTTTTAGGAATTTCTTTACATTTTTCTTGATTGATTAGGGTTATATTATATGTTTCCAATTTGTTTGTGGGATTCTCTTTAGGAGTACACAGAAGCGAAAACAAAAGCCGAGCAAGAGATGTTGAAAATCAGGGAAGAGAAAGCAAGTGAACTGGAGGTGGTGACATTAAGCTGTGGATTGGTGGGAGGGAGAGGTCATCTACCATATGCTCCAGACAGTTTGTTGGTGTTGATATCACAAATTATCAATCATTCGCCTCATTACCAGTCACTAAAGTACTTGGAAGAATTGTTAGGAAAGATCCCGATTTTGCATATTGAGGACACTTGTCGAGCACATATCTTTTGTGCTCAGACTCCATTGGTTAATGGAAGATTCTTATGTGCTACCTCTTACACATCAACTGCAGAAATCGCCAAGTATTTTCAGGAAAACTACCCACAGCTTCATTTGAAACACGAGTAAGTTGATCTTCATAATTGGAATTGTATTGTAGTTTGGTTGAAATTGTTAGATTGGTACTATAGGATATATATATATATATATATAGAGCTCCTGATATCCGCTCTCCAAAAGAGCCTTGAGAGAGAGACTAACATATATATATATATATATATATATATATATATATATATATATATATATATATATATATATATATATATATATATATATATATATATATATTCAAAATTTGTAACGGGGTTCTTGTTTAGGTACTTTGAAGAACATAAGAGAGAAACCAAATGGGGCTCCAAGAAGCTTGAAGATTATGGTTTTGGTTACAAGCACAATATAAAGACGATCTTGGATGATAGTCTCAAATGTGCAAGTGTCTTGAACACACTCAAGTCAATGTCAAATTGATATCCAGAAACACTAGTAGTATTCGAGGACCTATCAAAATGCATATACAAGACTAGGTTTTGTTACTTTTGATTAAGTTAAGCCCTCAAATCACTTTAACACATTCGAGTCCATTTCATTGCATTGGTTGAAATGGGTTAACATTTGGAAATATCCAAAAGAATCTCATATATATATATATATATATATATATATATATATATATATATATATATATATATATATATATATATATATATATATATATATATATATATATCATCCGTCTATAAGAAAGAACATGTTTACAAATTAACATTTCCCTTTGACGGCAAATTCCACCAAACATCTTGGATTAAATCTTCACCAAGTTCCAAACCATTGTTCGTTACATAGCAAATCCATCCAGGTCAGGTGTCGCCACAAATCCTAATGTGGTATCCGAACTCTTATCTTAAATGTTGAATTATTGTAACATCATTTTATAGAGAATATACTAGAAAACAAAAATTATACTTGTTGATAACAAATAACTTTATTTTTATCAATAATCAAAACAAAACGGACACGCAATGTGGTTAAAGATCATTTATGCCACTTGCATCAACAAAATACAATAAACATATTAGATAGCAAAACAAAACAATTTTATGTTTTCCATGGTCCAAATGAAATTTGCAAATGCTACCAATACTTGTACCAACAAACTTATATATAAAAACAATGGTCAATGCCATATTTGTTCAATTAACTATTAAATTTATGCCCATTAGATCACTTGAATTGATAGTTTTGTCCAATATGATCATTACTGTAACACCTCATTTTCACTTTTGCGTAGAATTCAATATAAACCATTGTTTATAAAATTCGTAGTAGAGATATATTACTTTTTAGCAAAAGTAATCATCATAAAAATGTAGGAAACATCAATACGATTTCCGTAAATATATAGAACGCCTGAATGCGACTTTGTATGAAGATGTTAGGTTTATCCGAAGTTTCGCGATTAAACCGACACGACTATACGCGTCTTAAAATATGAATAAGAGATATATTACTTATTAGTCTAAGTAATCTAAACGAGAGTTGTAGTAATCGTAAAACCGAGAGTGTACGTGTAGAGAACGTCTAAATCTAACATCGTATGATGAAGTTATGATTTTATGAAGTTTCAACGCAGCATAGAAATCGAAATCAAAATTGATTGATTGTTAGCCGAAACAATCTAAACGCGAGTTGAAGATCTCGTGAATATGAACCCATTTATATAAAGACGGTCGAAAACGAAGTTCATATGAAGGAGTTATGAATTTCGCACAGACTTTAACAGTCTAAACTAGTCTAAATATGAATTTTATTTAGAGAGGAATTAGTTGTTGAGACCATAAGGAAAGTTGTAGAGCTCGTTGAGAGAATTCCGGGGATATAAAGAATGTTGAAGACGGAGCTTGTATGCGGAAGTTATGACCATCTAAAGATTTCAGGAAAATACTTGATGCGATAATGTGGCGGCACCGGAGTGCGCCACATGGCAGAAGAAGTGCCAGACTCTCTACCCGAAATGGTGGCGTGCCACCATACGGTTACGACACGTGGCGCCAAAACACATGACACGTTCTAAAAGAATGTGACACGGCTCTATCTGGCATCGACACGTGACAACGTACGAGAGGCTCCAGCCAACACGGCCGACCAAGGGCACGATGCACCCAGAAAACTTGTGCGGCGTGTGCCCCCTACAAAGTCTATAATTTGTTGTTTTGGCTCCTTTCTTCACACACTAAAACCCTTCCATCTCTTATCTCTCTCTCTCTCTCTCTCTCTCTCTCTCTCTCTCTTTCTCTCTTTCTCTTTCTGATTCTTTGGGTCCAATTTTCTTTGGTTCTTTCGGGGTTCTGAGGAATCTCATTCTAGCAAGGCTCTGAGGCAGATGGCCAGGCATAAAGAAGTGTTTAGTATCAGGGTCATGCCCATGACTTTTCTGATTTTTCACTAGAAACTCTCTGTAAGTTAGGCTAAACTTACCACGCTTTAAGTGTAACTTTTAATTATATTCATAGTCATTGTTATGAATGTATAAATAAGATTTATCAGTAATTCCAGTTATTATACTGATTGATCTACTTGCGGGAGATGTGTCTAGAATGGTCATGTTGGCTTGGTTGTTGGTTTCAAAAAAGGCTATATGCCGAAATGGTACTACCACCCAATTGTCCAGCCTGGCTGATCCTTATTTAATAACACTCTTAGTATTCATTGAGATTAGTGAAATATCTAGCTTTCATTAAATTATAATATTATAGGTTAATACTTGTTAAGCACGTTACTCGCCAGTAGGATCACCCAAATAACTGACCATCGTCTGAGTAATTGTCCAGGTGAGTTTTCTCACTATATTATGTGTTCCAGTATATATCCTCTATATGTTAGGATATAGTTTCCCTATAGTATGCCATTAGGGTAGTTCTGTTAGTTGCTTGTAGTATTGGATTATTGCCTATTATATTGTTTATATGTGTTGATATATTATATGGGCAGTTGAGGGCGGCCTAACCTTGGGTTGAAGGCCAGAAGACTCGAGCGGACCAACTTTATGTTGAAGGCCAAGGTGCGGACTAGCTTTATGCTGAAGTCGAAAAGGGCGAGCCAGCTTCATGCTGAAGGCCAAGGGAGGACCAACTTTATGATGAAGGCCATTATGTGTATGCATCATATATGTATTGTGGTATATAGTATTTTGAGGAACTCGGTAAGCCTCATGCTTACCTAGTTGAATATAAATGTTTTTCAGGTACTCATGTGAAGGGAAAGGTTCGACTGCACACAAGCGCATTCACAACATGTTTCCGTATAATATAATTATACTTTGATATATTTGAATAAATAAAATGAAAAGTTTGGGTTGAAAATTGGGATGTTACAAGTTGGCATCAGAGCCCTGGTTTGCATGAACCGGATGAACACTTGTGTGATTCAAAAATCAAAATAGGGATCTGAGTAATTAATAAATCTTCTCATAAAAATAATAATACAAAATGAAAGAACGCGATAATTGCAATCAGCCAATTCTCAAAAAGGAAAGTTGTTTCCAAAATATCCATATTCGTTATGATTGCTAATATGTGAAATGTTAGAAATGCACACTGTATGTAGGCTAGGGATCTTTCATAAATTTCCAGTTAGAATTACCGGATACTTAAGATGCCTTATAGCCTAGGAATTTGCTTGTTATTTTCTGCGTAGAACCTATATTAATATAAGTTAGTTATTTGACAAATATGTTAGGTTGCATGATCCCAAAATTAAATAGTTCTAGATTGCCTGATTTGTTGCTATTGCATAGCTCTTGTCTGAGTCTAACCATTGTAGTTTCAGATTTCTCAGTCGATAGATTGTTTGATTTTGTGGCATGCAATTGTATTCGTTCGATGATTAATTAATGTTGATAGAAGTTCTTCCTCAACTAATAGTATGGTAGGGTGGAAAAGAATACTAGAAATAGAGTCTAGGAAGTTTAATATATGCTTGATAGGGTATATATTCGCAGATGGAGCATCAATAAAGATGAAAATACCTAGTAAAGTTTAGGAAAACCTATTATATATGCTCATGGGGCACATACATATATATATATATATATATATATATATATATATATATATATATATATATGTGTTTAACGGTCATCATGTGTAGTATTGGAAGTGTCTTGGAAACTGCGAGACAATTCCTGGGACAAGTATGAGTAGGTGTGAAAAGTAGTAGAGGTCTATACTTACCGAAGCATAGGACTAGCACCTGGATTAGGAAGAGTAAAAAAGCTGATAAGATACTAGTAGTTAGTAGATAGTGTGGCTATCAATATAAATTCGCTTCGCGTTATTTCCGCCATTATGTGACAACCAGCAAGCTTCTCGTCAAGTCAAAGTTGAGTCAAGGTCAACAAGTCAACTTGGTCAACTCAACTAGTGTTATATGTTAGGGATTTCTTTATGTTTACTAATGTACAACTATAATTCTTAATGCAAAGTAACACTTGAAAGTCCCAAATTTTCAAAATCTAAAACCCTAATCTAATTTAGGGAAGTAGCTACTCTATAAAGTACTATTAAGCACCCTTCGGGGGTCTATAGCACTCAAAATGGGATGTAACTAAGTCTACGACCATTGAACTACGAAGAAAAACATTAATAAGGGCTCCTGACAAAGTCTCTCTCAATCTCTATTGCTATCTCTCCCTCTCTCTCTTTCCCAAATCTCTCCAAGTATGTGAAATCTCTCCTAAATCTCTCCAAGTATGTGAAATCGCTCCCAAATCTCTCCAAGTATGTGAAATCTCTCCTAAATCTCTCCAAGTATGTGAAATATCTCCCAAATCTCTCCAAGTATGTGAAATATCTCCTAAATCTCTCCAAGCATGTGAAATTAAATCTCTCTATGCACCTTCCTCAGTTGAAAACAGCCTAAAACCGAAGGAGAAAACCCAAAAGGACCCTCTTGGTCCGGAACCCTCTTGGTGCTGAACCTCTCGTCCAGAACCCTCTTGGTCCTGAACCTCTCGTCCGGAATGCCTTCTAAGGAGCCAAGAGGAAGCACACCTTCGGAACCCTCCCTACTTCGGATCTTCTCGCATGCTCCGGAGGGACCTCGCTTAAGGATTGCTTCGGAACTTCCAGTCGATTCGCACCTCCAGTCCGGACTGAAGATTGCGCTTCGGACTTCGCATGTAACCTCCGGATCCGAGAAGCCACTCTGGAACCGAGGGAATGACCCCGAAACTGCACTGTTGGCCTCGAAAATTCACTCCTTTGCTCCGGAAATTAGATCATGACTCCGAAAACCTTCTTATGCACCTCGGACCCTCGTAGGAGCAAGGATACACTTCGGATTTTTGCCATTTCTGGACCTTTTCTTCAGTTTAGGACATTTTGACGTCGTGAAATCCTCCAAACTCATATTTTTCATGTCCTAGACCCCTTAAACCACTATTTTATGCCAAAATAAATTATTTTTAGCATATTTATATAAAATAGAACCCAAGATTTTTAAGGAAATTCTAAAGCAAATAAAGGTGTTTGACTTTGTGATGTGATATAAATCCTTCATTCCCAATGCAAATCTCAGTAAGCCACACATTATCCATGGATAATAAGCTTTACCCACCAGCCCTCCATGCAAATGTCAAGTCACTCCCTTATCTCCCCACTTAAGAATACGTGAGCTCCTTTCCCCCAAGCTCCACTTCTCATTTCTCACTTCCAGAAAACTCCTAAGAATACTCTCAACACCTTCAAGCTTCAAGTTTATCCTTTCAAAGGAAATTTCCAGATTTCTTTGGTGAGTATTTTATCCTTTTTGAATAATAATTCTTTACATTACTTTAAGATTTCACTATATTTACACACAAAATTATTCTTAGAATCCTCTAAAGATTTAAGAATCTTCCAAGTTTTGGAGCTTGGAAACTTCCTCATCACTCTTCAAATCACGCCGCAAGCTAACCAAGGTGAGCTTCATACCCTACATTTTTCAATATTTTAGTGTTTTTTGGGGGAGAGTACAAC